CAGTCTTGTATTACCAAACCCCAGAACACCCCAAATCAGGTTTCTTGATGGTAGAGTCTAAAAGCGTTTAAGGGTGGGTTACAGACACCAGGAAACGTTAAGGAAAAGTGAAGACACTGAGTGTCCATCCTTAACTTTTGATGGTAAATTGAAGGACAAACCTGCCACAGGACTTGGTGCTGCTGCCAGGTGCTGGCCCCTGCATTCAATGGCCAACTGGCTTCTCTACCTCTTATCAGGCAGCTCCCCTGGCTCAGGCTTAGAAAGCCCTGTATAGAGGCTGCACTCCCACCCTCTAGAGGTCTGTTTTATTTGGGATCATCTGTTTCCTCCTCATGTGAACACTACTGATGTCTTGGGTCTGAATTTATTAAAAATATAAACTCCTCTATTGGCAATGATGGTGAGTTATTTATCTTTATCACCTCGGCACTTAGCATAGAACAGAGTAGAACTCATTAAAATGGGGTTGCACGGAAATGTTTGTGGGTTTGACGGCTTTGTGGCTTCAAACACTAATATGCTTGTCCCTGTTACAACATTTAGGTTGGAGAGACAATCGGCATTAGTGAAGAAATTATGGGTCTGACCATCTTGGCTGCTGGGACCTCCATCCCTGACCTTATCACCAGTGTCATAGTGGCCCGGAAGGGGCTGGGGGACATGGCCGTGTCCAGCTCTGTTGGAAGCAACATTTTTGACATCACCGTAGGGTGAGTAGAGATAGTTCTGTAGAGGTGCACGCCAGCTCCATCACTGTCTTTATCTTCTTAGAAGCTGTAAAGACATGACCAGGATCTCTGAGCCCAAAACTAACCAATACCAATAAAGAAAAGACAAGGAGTACCATTCGGCTTCATCAACTCTACTTTCTATTTTCAGAGAACTTAAGGAAGAGTAAGTTGCCCCTAGACAGGCAGAAACATGTACCTGCATACAGAATGAGTGTTTCAGGAAGTACTTTAAGAGAATTCCACTTGTATAATGGCATTCAGGTAATCCTGAGATACTCTGACACTTTCATAATATTTTTTTTCCACATTCTAATTCTAATTAAAGTCCCCACCAACCTAAGGTGAGATTTGGATTTTAAGGCAGATTGGGACAAACATAGGCCCAACACAAATATCTTGTCTCCTTCTTTGAAAAATGCTGCAAGTCCTGGGATTATCATTTGTTTATCTGTGCTGGTGAAGATTTTCTAGGTCTTTGGAAAGTCAGAAAATGAAAGCTGTTCTTACAGCAAACTGGAGTTCCCAGTATGAATGATCATTACACCGAATCAGATTGGGGAGGTGTTTTAATCCATTTTGTGTTGCTATAACAGAAATACCTGAGACTGGGCAATTTATAAAGAAAAGAGGGTTATTTGGCTTATGATTCTGGGACAGCTGCATCTGGCTACCTCAGGCTGCTTCTACTCATGGAGGAAAGCAGCAGGCAGCTGTGGGTACAAGCAGGTCACATGGCGAGAGGAAGCAAGAGAGAGAGGGAGAAGGTGCCAGGGTCCTATAAACAACCAGCTCTCATGGGAACTAATAGAGCGAGAACTCACTCATTAATCCCCCCTCCCAGGGAGAGCATTAATCCATTCATGAGGGATCCACCCCCATGACTCAAAAAGCTTCCAACACTGTCACATTGGGGATCAGATTTCTGCATGAGTGTTGGGGGGGACAACACATCCAAACTCTGTCAGGAGGGGTGCTGTTATCTCTACCATTTCATTTCACTTGTCAAAAGTAAAAGTAGTCTAACAAATAGCCCTGAATGACAGCATCCTGAGAGATCAAGACCCAGGATGTTATCCTTATGTTCCCAGGAGAACTGAGCTCTTGATACTCAAGTTTGGAAACCCACTAAAATGCATCTACTGTCTCCTTGAACATCTTGAATATTGTTCTTTCTTATATCTTTTCATTACCAAATACATATTTATTGTTTTTCATAAAGTGTCTACCATGTGCACTGTACGTACATTTTTATCCATTTAAGTCACATAACGATCCTATGAGGTATGTACTGTCATCCTTGTTTTTCAGATAAGGAAACTGAAGGGCACAGAGTTCACACAACTAGTAAATGAGGTAGCTTGTATTTGAACAAAGAGTCTGTGCATAAAACTCTGCTCTGAGCTTCCACTGTCTGAGCCACCTGTGAACCCCAAAGGTGCCCTCTCCTACTTACTTTCTTCCTTTTCTGGCTCCTCTCACTGCAGAGCCCTCCCTGCTTGTATGCCTGGAAAACTCTGACTTAGCTCCCAGTGTTGACTCGAATTCTGACTTCTCTGATGCCCCTGGGCCTGACTTGGGGGCTCT